GCAACATTTTGCTCCATTAATAAAAATGTTATAAGCACTACACTCATTAGATGCTGTTTATCAATGTTTGAAGTATCACCGGCTCTGATGAATGTGGAATTAGGACTGTTTTCCACTTTGAAAACGGTTTCATTTGACACACTAAGAGAGAAGGTAAATACAGTATTTTCTTTTCAAGATATAGAATTGTGCAGAGTTAAACCCCACTCTAATATTTGTACCTACTATTCTCTCTCTGTATCAAGCAAAATAATACATTCATTAAAATATTAACTTCACTATAAAAGTTGAACATCTGGGCTGTAGTTACTCTGTGTAGCCAATTTCATGTATTTCATCTGGGGCTGAAAAAAATGAATCATATTAATTGATTATTTCAATAATCGTCAACTAATTTAGTAAGTGATTCATCATTAACTGGAGTATAGAGACTTTAAAACATACAGTAATATAAATGTAAAATGTGCCTTTCCCCACAGAGCAACCCACTTAGATCAGTTATTATATCAAAATTGTAAAAATAAAAACAAAAAAATGAAAACAGTAATATCAACTAAATATCGGTAAAAAGGAAACCCTCACATTTTCTTTCTTAATTGGCTGTGGCTAAGAATCAGAAATGTTGATGCTTACAGCCTTTATTTGCCCATTTTTCCAGCAGTCTTCAGAACTCCTGGCTGACTCAGAATATTTCGTTTTATAAAAAAAAAAAAAAAAGGTTTTTGTTTTTTAGTGTACATGATATTCATTTTTTTTTTATCGGGACTAGTTTTGTAGCCTAATATTAATTGTAGTAACCGCTGCATTAAAGTGTGAATACATTTTCAATGTTGTGCTCCAAGCACACGCGGACTAGAAAACAGCCAATCAGAGAGAGAGAAGGCGGAACTTAAGGCAGAACAACCAATGAGAGTGGAGTTAAACAGCGCAGCACAGTTCCATGCGCTGCTACATGAAAGGGACAGGAGAGAACAGGCAGAGGAGCTGCGAGAGGAAAAGAAGCCACTGCTGCAACAACTACTGCTGTAAATTATAAACATGTTGGTCACATCCAATTATTGGTAGGGACAATTAGGTCGGTTCAAAATTTTGGTAGGGACATGTCCCTATGGTCCCTATGCAAACCTACGCCCATGCCCTAACCCCAATCTAAACTCAATTCACACCAAAACAGCAAAGGCATGGGGCCCAATGAGCAGTATCACACTATCCTTGTGGGGACTTTCCATTGACCTCCATTCTTATTGCATTCGTTTCTATGGCCTAACCCAGATGCTAAGCCTAACCATTACCAACAAATTAACCCTAAACTTAAACTAAACTCGATTCACAGCCTAATCCTAACACTAACCTTCACTCCAAGAAGAGGGACCTGAAGGGGACTAGTTAATGGTTGCAACACCTACAAAACCCGAAAATGTAGCACATTTTTGGGAAATTGTCTCTACCAGGTTACAAATACCTGTATTTGTCCAGTGTTGCATTGTGATGGACTGTCGGCCTGTCTAGGGTGGACCCCGCCTCTTGCCAGTAGAAAGTTGGAGATAGGCACCAGCACCCCTCACGACCGCACTGATAAAGCATGTCAGAAAATGGATCGATGGATTAATCTGTCAATTATTTTTTCGATTAATAATCAGATTGCCAAAGGTTCCTTAAAGTAGATCTTTTGCACAATTAAACCAGGTGAAACTAAAACTTATCCACTTGAGGAATTCTGGATTACGGAAGCCTAGAGGGGTCGTACTCGACTTTTTTTTCCCTCTGCCTTCTAGACATAATGATATAACTATCTCATTATCATGGCTTAACAATTAATTGTTTTCTTGTGATAACAAGATAATTATCTCGTTATCATGAGGAAACAGTTATTGATTTCTCGAGATAATGAGATGCTTAACCTGTATGAGTAATGAAGAAGCTGGCAAAGAGCCCTGGATCCCCAGTCCATCCATGCCTGTGGTGCCCGTAGTTAGTTTCCTTTTTCTTTTCAGTCATTGTCAGGTCGTGGTGGATGATTGGATTGTATGGAATACAGTAGAATCAAATCTGACAGTTTTTTTAATGAAACTCTTTAATCTGAACTCATTCTGGGGGTTAATGCATCTTATACCTGTTCTAGGCGTAACAGCGGGCTGTTCAGAAAACACCCGGAGCTAATGCGCTGGAGGCATAGGTCTAATCTTATAAAGCATATCATCAAACCAACAACCTTGTCTCGTTACCTGAAAGTTAAACACAGGATTATATACAGAATTATACATAGGCCGCCATGACTTATACTCATAAATCCTCTTCCGCTGTTGTGGTATTAAAGGATGTAATCAGCTTAACAAACACTAATCATCTCGTTATGACGAGAAAACAGCTTTTGTTATCTTTAGATAATGAGAAAATTTACTTGTTTTTCTCAAGAAAAGCACTGAGAAAAAGTATCAAAGGGACACAATCGCTCTTGGCTTCAATACTGGATAGAGCGTATTGACAGACGCAAAAGTTTTTCTATCTTAAAAGCAAAATGTTCATATATTTTTTTTTACAATTTTGATATAATTACTGTTTTAATTGGGTCGGCCTGTCAGCTAAAGGCATGTTATACGGTCTCTGTACTCCATTTATTAATTAATCAATTAGTAAATTAGTTGAAGATAATTTCAGTAATCAGTTAATCACGATTAATCCGATTTACTGTTTCAGCCCTAATCCTAACATGCATCAAGGATATGAATACAGGATGCTTGGTGTCCAGGTTGTGTAGGATCTGCAGAGATATTATTGGGAGGGAAAGTCATCTTTAATTAACATCTCTGCAGGCATTATTGTTTGCTGCAGTTTGGATCTGTCCTATTTCAGGAATGACTCAAACTGTGTGGATAGACTAAAAAAAGGACGACGTATAGATCTTCTGATCAGGATTCACCCCAACTTTACCTGCTGCAGCTGCTCAGTCAGGAAGCTGGGGATCCATGGAGGTGAACTTGGTGAGCTTCCAGTGGATAATGTCTGGGTTGATGGTGCTGAAGAGCCATGCTAAACTCCACAAACACAATCCTAGGATATGTCCCTAGATGGTCAGAAGGTTGCAGGATGAAGTTTAGTCTCTAGTTAAAGGAATCCTCTGCTGACCTGTTTTCCCAATAAACAAACTACCTAGGATCCAACATGCCAGGGGGGCTATGAGCTCTTTCAAATGTTAATTCAGTATCTCATGCTGACTCTGCTGCCATCTAGTGGTTGATAGAAACTTTTGCTAGCAGTGTTACTGTAGCAGTGTCTCCTGTGATGGCAGAGGAGTTAGTAGTAATATCACATACCTGAAACTGTATATATTTGCCTTTTTACACTGAATGACAGTTACATAGTTCAAATGGAAGAATTCTCCCATGTGTGTACAGACAATGTTTCTTCCACATATGCAGGGAAAGGAAATGTGTCATTCATCCTGGGATAAATCCTTCCCTGATCTACATGGCATTATGATAATGTTGCACTGGGATATTTTTGGAATAAACAATACCATTGATAGGGATGAGATGGGACTTTAGGTGGGGGTTTTCTGCTGAATGTGGTTTAGTCTTGTTCAGAGGATGGATTTACGAAGGGGGTGGGGGGCAGCTTATATGGTAATCGGATTTGAAGGCTCCACTTGCTTGTTTTTATGCCTCTTGTCCTCCACAGGAGATGAAGGATTCATCTGAAGAAAGGCTAGATTTTTTTAAAAGAGCTTACAAAAAGAATTTCTTTTTTTTTTTGGATTCCTTTTCCTTTTATCGTCCCATAGCTTCTTTAAACTTGTCAGATAAAGCCACATATTCAGTTGTATTTTAAACAGAACCAGGATTTAAGAGAAGTAGAAATAATTCCTAAAATGTGACATTCATCTATATTTTAGCCCACCTTACTCTGATACTACTAATTCAAATCTATTCAACTGTCTTGTCTAGTTCACACAGTATTTAAGGAATAGAAGCAAGAAGAAAACCACTGCATACAGAAACCGACAGGATGTTGTGTTAAATTTATTCACCAACAAATATGGGACACAAACATGTGGAAGATGGCTGTCAGATACCAATGTAGAACTCTCGATAATTTTCAAAATGCTAATTATGACAGTTGTGGGAGTTTTCGTTTTCATAACATCCCTGTAGGGTAGCATGGCTTTGGCAGCATGGTGATGTGGAGATATTTAATTTATTAGGTGTTATGGAAGATGCTTACATGGGAAACCTGAACATCTTTAGTGACAGAGCTTCATCTATTAAGCTAAAACGTGAAGTTCAATCAATAAATTATTCATTGGAAAATTTGAAACTTTATTGTACATTTGCTCCACTTTCAGTCTGACGTAGCTTGAGCTATTTCTTAAGGATGAATTGGTAATAATTTAAGTTTATCTAAACAGTTCATGTAAGTTTTGCTTTTGAAGAGTTGCCTATACATACCTCAACACTTTATTTGTATTCTTTTCAAATGGTTTTTAATAGAATTCAATTCAATTCAAAACTATGTTATAAACCCTATGGGGAAATTAAATAATTTGTTAAATAACAATTTATTAGGAATAGATAAACAGAAACAAGTCATTCAAATTTAAATATTTATAGTTTTAACAGAAACATACTATTAAGAAAAAAAAACTAATTATTCACAAATTGTCAATTAATACTAGAATTTGCTTCAGGAACTTTGGAGGCTGCAAAAATATAAATGCAACACCTATCTTTTAATGTATTTTATACTTAAAACCCCCTTTTTTGCATAAATGTTTTATTTTGATTTATAATCAATAGCTGAACATTCAAATTTTGTTGTGATTTTTAAGATATCTTCATCTACGAGAACTCTTAAGTTAGCAGATTTCTGAATGAATGTGTAATGTTTGCCTCCCAGGTTTTCATTATGCAACGTTGACACCTAGTGGAGCAATTTGAAAACTGCATTAGTTACTGGGTATGATAGCCTGTTTTAACTAAGCCCATCCTCTCTGTGTGAGGCAGGTCTCTTAGGTATGGTGGCCCACATGATGTTCACCACAGCCTTCCAGCTGACTGTGAGTCTGGGTCCCGAGAACTGGAAACCTCAGACGTGGGACTACAGCTGGTCGTACATGTGGGTACAGTTTGTTCTCAGAAACCTTTTCAGTGAAGTTCATAAACTCTTCTCAGTCTGACTTTGTTTAGTTTAAAACTGAAAACAAAAGCATGAAGAATCTCATTTATAAATTAAACAAAATCAGCTGTTGATTCTGCAACGTAGGGACCAGTCAGTCCTGAATCTTTATCTGCAACTTACCATTAGAAGCCGAAGTTATCTTCTGGACATCATTATGTCAGCAGTTTTTATGTTGTTTGTTTAGCCTATTGGCCCAAACTGACACCATTTGGTGATCAGAGCACCTTTAACTTTTGATTTTGGTTAAAAGTAAACCACTATCATCAAAAAGAGTTTCACAAAAAGTGACAAAATTTATTCAACTTTTTAAGAATACTCTAATATTTGGTAATTTTTGGAGGGTTACTTGTATTTCTTTAAACATTTCTTTCACAAACCAAGATGTTTCATTACATTTATACGCTGGTGAAGATTCTCCTTCATCCAGGTCATAGTCATTCCAATAAAGGAAAATTGAAAACAATCTACTGGACTTTTTTTCCAAGTTTAAAGAGGTTTCGCTTCCCATTCGGGAAGCTTTCTAAATTCAAAATGCCAGGAATAGCGTTGAGTTCAAGATTAAGAAGGAAAAAAAACAACGTTAAACAGAAGGGATAGACTCAGGTTTCAGCTTTCAAAAACCTACAATGCAGCAATTGAGTGAATCCCTTCCCGCTATTATCGCAACTCCTGTACAGCATAGCGGAGAACCTCACCTATTCAGCCAGGACAACAATTCCCTTAATGACCCTCTTTAGGACACTTAGACGGGTATGGGACATTGCAGGCTAACAAAAGCAGCCAAACAACCCCCATCCCAAAGGGGGTGGATCCCTTCATCCTTTTCAATTTGCATGTTTTTTAAAATTGAGAAAGCTTCTAGGAAGGGAGACGAAATGACTTCAAATTTTGAAGAAAAAAAACGAAGTCCAGTAGATTGTTTTTAATTTTCTTTTTTTTTTTGGAATTACATTTATAGTATTCTAATTGATATTTATTCATTCATTATTATCCAAAAATAAAGATGCTTTAATAAATTCTCTCTTTTTTCACAGATTGGCGTGGAGCTCTTTCACAGCCTGCATGGCCTCCTCTGTTACAACCATCAACCGCTACACCAAAACCATCCTGGAGTTCAAGCACAAGCGCAGGAACATTGAGAAGAACCTGAAGATCAAGCAGAAGCTCCTGGAGCTGGATTCTCCAGAGCAGGTGTGGGACATGTACATCAGCTCTGTCCCGAGCACCGCTGAAGAGCTGCTGGACCTGTCGACGAACGGCCGCAAACTGTCCAACGCCTCCATTTTCCTGGACCTCAACGACCTGCCCGATCCGCAGGGAGAGGAGTATTGCTAGAGGAGCATTTGGAAACAAGGATGCTGTTTCCTGTGTGCTACAGTGTAAATACAGGAAGAATCCTGCTGAAAGCTTTATACTTTTGTTTTCATCATCCGTCTTTATTAACTTCCTGATGTGGTTTGCTCTCCAGGAGCTCTTAAGATGTAAAGTAGGATTTTTATCCTACAGATTTAAATCAGGATTCAACCGGAAGAATTTTAGAGCTAAATCAAGGTTGGACCCGCCGTGGGAGCAACTGATTGATGAGGATTTCACCAGCATTGCACATCAAGATTAAACCATCAGCTCTAATTGAAAGCTGTCTTTTCTCATGTATACCACACATATAACAGTACAGTTCTGAAACAAGATCTTTATAGACCGTCTCCTGGATTGGACGGACATATTTGTTGTGTTGTTTAAGTTTTTTTTTTTTTTTTTGTTATTGATCAAATTTTACATGAATTTTTAATTTAATGGAACATTATTGATCTCACATTGAAGAACTTTACCTCTGCATTTAACCCATCCCCTTGGGGAGCAGTGGGCTGCCATCATGGGGCGCCCAGGGAGCAGTGTGGGGTTAAGGATCTTGCTCAGAGACCCAGTGGGAGTGGGGCTCGAACTCAGAGGCTGCCACTCCCCAACTGAAATTGGATGGATGTAAAACAACTAACTTTGTCAAACTTCAGAGCTTTAACACAGGGTAAAAAGTCGTCTCTTTGTGCTTTTCTAGGTTATATCGCTATGAAATAAAGAGCTGCTGAGTTATTAACTAAATGAAGGTCATAATGATGACAACTGGTGTTTTGAAATATCTGTAACCATTACCTAAAACTGAATTTCCCATCGATGATTAAAAAGGTATAATTACATTGCATTGAATTGCATCAAAATTAGTCAAATCGAATTGAAAAGTTAATCTAGCATTGCATTCTATATTTTTTATTCTCGTTAGCCACCTACGCATTGTAACATCCAAACCTGCAGAGTTAAGATGCTGGTTGGGAACTTTTATTATCCTGCTGATGAGTTATTGTGTCAACTGCCTAAAAGACAAAGAAAAAATGTAGTTTGAGCTGTAGCCTACAATTTAACTATGATTCGTCCTTATCTTTCCTCCTGGATATAGTTGAAAAAAAGATCAATGCTTTGAAAAAGTCTCTTTCTGCTAACAAGTTTATTCTCCTTAATCACATTTTAAGTCCAGACTTTGACTAAGCCACCTCATAATATTGGTTTTCTGTTTGAGAAGCTCAGCAGTGAATCTGCTTGCTAGGTTTGGATCACTGTCCTGCAGCCAGGGACACTTGTTCAATATTTCAACATCCATGTTTGCCAACTGATTTAGGGCAGAACTCTTGGCTCCTTCAGTTATTGGAGGTTCTTAGATGCCAGGTGGATGCAGCAATTTGCTCATTCGATTTTCATCCATAAATCATGATTAGTCACCTTAACTAAAGCAACTGTTGTCTTCAGAGTCTTAATTGTCTTTTTCTGTCTTCTGGAGTCATTTCAGCAGGTTCACCTCTAAAATGTTTTACCTGCAGCTAATTGCTCTGACTGTGGTCCACTGGAGTTTCAAAGCTTCAAACGTGGCTTTAAACATAACTAGATTTTTTTTTTTTTGGTCACATCAGCTAATGATGTTGCTTTTGAGCACGTTAGATCCTGCTTTATTTTGTCACACAGGTGTTATTTAATTGATTTATTGATTATTTAGATCAGGCAATAATCAGGCCTTGGTATGGTAACAATTTAAATTATTGTTTAATAATAATTTTACTTTATTGATCTCACATTGAAGAACTTTACTTCTGCATTTAACCCATCCCTTTGGGGAGCAGTGGGCTGCCATCGTGCGGTGCCCGGGGAGCAGTGTGGGGTTAAGAGTCTTGCTCAGAGACCCAGAGTGGCAGTCTGTTGGAGTGGGGCTCAAACTCAGAACCTCAAGATTCCCAGCTCTATGCCCTAACCCAGGCATTCCCAACCTCGGTCCTGGAGGCCCGCTGTGCTGCAGGTTTTAGAGGTTTCTTGCTCCAGCACAGCTGATTTTAATTGAAAGCTGATTAATTTGTTGCAGTATTTTGGTGCAATCATTATAATCAGCTGTGCTAAAGCAGGGGAACCTCTAAAAGCTGCAGAACAGCGGGCCTCGAGGATCGAGGTTGGTGATGCCTGCCCTAACCACTAGGCCTCCACTCTCAGCTACTTAAACAGCTTCCTATAATTCCTTGTATTCCTTATGTTACATTTTATATTTTGTTTAATGATCATAAACACTAACTTTGACCGTTAAGACTGAAGAAATCTGTAAAGGGACTAACTCATTTTCAGAGCACTGTATGTGGGATCTCTTTAAATAACACAATATAAATCTGCTAGGACTTCAATATAAGCTCCTAAACACTTCACATTAATTCTCACCAAAGTAATAAGCTATTATAAGCTCTGCTAAGAACCATTGCTAAGAAGGGAAACAACGCATTTCTTAATGGTTAATGAGAAAATGAGGTCGTTGGAAAAAAAAATGAAAGCTTGATTTTCCTTCTTGGTCAACATAATATAGTGAAAAAGAAGCACATTCACCAGGTCAGATGCTTCACCGATTATTAGAGTTTTTTTCATTGATGTAGTTTTGGAAAAATGCTGAACAAGTGACTTTGTGACTTTTGAAAGCTGTACATGCTGAATTATGGCTTCCCTGGTGTTAAAGCCGTCTATTTAGGGCATTTTTGATGGACTAAACTGTCTAATTTTTCTCAACAATTGAATCATGTAGCTGTTTGACACAGTTGTGCTTTGATGAATGTTTGTGCTTTATGAGACATACTTGGGACTGAGCAGACATAAAGAAAAGCTAACTGGAGGATTCTGCTTTTTCATGCTCTGAGGCACAAGAAGTTGGATTAAAAAGAAGATGCTAACGCGGATGGCGGATACCTAAAGGAAACGCTGAGTGCCTTTACATCCAGAAGCATGCGTCTGATCACACAGCATGCTCAACAAGGGCAAACATGACCACTTCCAAAGCAAAGAGTTGCTGTTTGTGCAAATAGCCAAAACTTATATTTGGAAGAAATGTGCATGTTTCTAAGGTTTTTGTTTGTATTTTCACATTAATGCAAAACTTGATAGAGACGCAAGAGAACTAAAAGCATTTTAATGTGCATTTGGGCTTATTTCTTGTGGAACATCAATGACTATTCAACATATTTGGTTTAAGTTTTAACTGTTTTCCCCAACCTGTATAAGGCTAAAGCATGAATCTTTTGTCTTTATGTGTGCTTTATAACTTACAATATTTACTGTGTCTCTTTGTGTGTGTGGAGTGTCTTTGTTATACTTTTGTGGGTGATTATTGCAGGCTAATATAACAATAGCATTTATGAACAGATTTTATTGAAAGCTAAATAAAAATCATACATAGTCTTAAAGAATAATGGTTTCAATATGATTGCATTTTCCTTCCCTTAGATTGTTCATTTAAAAACCACAAGATGGCAGTGTTGCCTTGCTTATTACGTGGCTCACAGGCACAAGAAGAGGAACTTTCTTCTAATAATTAGGGTTAGAAAAAATGTATATCATTCAAGTTTTGAAATTAAAATCATTATTTTTATGTTTATGGGGAGTGCAGACTTTCAACATCTCACAACTTAGATTATTTGTACTCAATCATCTCTAAAGTTAAGAACATTGCTATAAAGAAGCATCTCACTCCTCTGCATCTTATATTCTTAAGATTAAATTATATATTTTAGTTAAGTTAATTAGTTCTGTAAAGTTATCCCAACCAAATATAAGGCCATTATTAGATAATGAGCTAGCTGTTATTAACAATGTCTTCTTATTTTAGTTTTAGTAGCCAGAATAAGTCCTGATTAGAACTGATCTGCTAAACTATGACCTGTCTGATAAAAAGATGTACACTAAAGGGAAAGCAGGACACCATTTACAAAGATGAAAAAGAGATGGTAAAATAATGACTTTAATATGTCTGTGTGTAATGGCCTTACAAATTGTTTTTTAATGCAATTGGACTCATACCAAGGTGAAACCCTCATGGTGCAGATGTGAGTATTTTTAGGAGCATCCAAAGAACCAAAAATACCCAAAAAGTGCCTCTACAAGTCACCCTGGAGGATCTCCAGCGCTCTCTTGACTTAATAATTTAACTATTAAAAAAAACACATGAAAAAAATGGCGTCCGTGGGTGGGTAACTAGATGAAAGCCATTGCTAGCCAAAAAAAAAACTTGGTTCATATTTTCTGAAAAACCTGATTATAATAATCAGCAGCTTTTTGAAAATATTCTGTGGAGTACTAAGACAAAGATTTCTGTATCATAGGCTGCTGCCCCATGAAGGTACTTTGTGGGAAGCGATCACTCTTTATATCACATTTTCAACAATACTTTTTCTCATAGTAAACAACTCTCAGACAAGACTTAGAGTTTAACATTATTTAATCTAAACAGAAAAATGGTGAATTTACATTGATGTGGCTCACTATGTCTAAAAGGAATCATAATGAGCCAAGAAAAGAATTTCCCAGATCCTCCTTATAACTCAGTGTACCCTGTGTCTACCAGGTGGGTGGTTATCTCTATGTCATCGTTTGACAAACCCTGCCTTCTTCTCCCTGCTGCATCTTCTTTGCCTCAGGATATAAGCATAAGTTCCCCTTAACAAGCAGGTCTTTAGAAAAGTAACTTTATTATGTATTATCAATACAGGCTGTTATATGTGTTTAGGTTGTCAATCTATCTGCCCACTTTATTACCCTAAACTTGTAACATAATAAAGGTAAATCATTTTATCCTAAAGAAAACAGATCTCTGCTTCTTAGGGAGACTATACGAATCTTATACTGTGGGTAATTATTACTGTATTATATATGGAGAATCATAGACATATATTTAACAAGCTATTTTTTTTTTTATTATTCAATTCAATTCAGTTTATTTCTATAGCGCCAATTCACAACACATGTCATCTCAAGGTTATTTATAGTTCACCAGATCATACAGTCTGGTTGATTCAAGTATTTCTATAAGGAAAACCAGTTGATTGCATCGACTCATTGATTGAAATGCAATTCCTCACACCCAGCATGTTTTTAGCAACAGTGGAGAGGAAAAACTTCCTTTTAACAGGAAGAAACCTCCAGCAGAACCAGGCTCAATGTGAGCGGCCATCTGCTGAGGCTGACTGGGGTTCAAGGAGACAGAAGCAGAGATACAAAAGGTAACTGTAAAAGGCGGCCCTGTCCAGAAAACGCACACTAAGGCAGATGAGCTCTGAGCCAGCTCCCATGTCAGAGGATGAAGAGAGCACATCCAGCCAGTCACAGTCAGAGAAACAGGACTACACTGATCTCGAACATCTATAAACAAAGGTGTTGATGGCAGCACCAGCCTCCTCTCCAGGTTGGTGTCACAGCCAAAGAGGATTAGGGTTTAACAAGCCTTCTTTATCTCAGTATATTAAGATTTTAGGCATAAATTGCAATATTATGACAGACTTAGAGGGCACTTACTTTTTCCTCATAGGGTCAGGACAGGTTCATAACTTTTCCCTCCCTCTATTATTAAATGAAACAACAAATTGGAAAACTGATTTTGTACACCCTCATGTTATACTCATTTGATGACCTGAAAGTGGGACTAAGAATACCAATAGAAAGAATCTATCAGGGTGCCAATACTTTTCCTTTGTATTGTATATTTGAAAAACCACTGCTCTAATTTAGTTTAAGATGGATTGATGTTAATATTCAGAACAACGATGGATGTTATCAAAAAAGGGAGAAAAAAAAGTTAAAACGCAATGCCTTTGCTTAAAAATATTTTTTATTTTTGTTTCCAACTAGTGCAAATACATGCAAACAAAAAAAAATGTCTGTAGAAGCAGGAAAGGCTTGATACATCACATCCACAGGACTGGCTAGTAACAGGCAGAACTTCCTGGTATTGATCTTCATCTTTTCTGTCCCGTCGCCCTCTGCTGGTCCGCTCACTCTGCTCTAAGCACAGTAGGCTGGTTTTGCACTCGCTAACCTAAGCAAAGCATACAAATGAGCCAAGTGATCCATACCAGTTCCCACTCCATCCATTTAACCACATTCATTATTCAAGGATACAAAAGCACTCAGTCAAATCTGAGCTCATACCCCCCACCCCCCTCTGCTGCTTACCGCATGAAAGATTCATTCCAAGCTTTTTTTGGAAACAATGCTTGCAGAACATTTTTCTATATACAAACCCCAACTGCCTTTACACTCTTAAATTAATACTTGCAGATAAAATGGGGAGCAAAAAAGAAGGAATTAAACCAAAATGTGTTCATTCTGTTGTTTCCCTACACAGCTTTGAAAAGTCTGGAAAGTATGGATTTTGTTTTTCTCATTCTCCAGTATGGTATACTAAAGTAAGAAAAGAAATATAGAAAAATTATTGATTTACTAGCTTCTAAAGGCCAGTGATACCTAAAATGCACCTGGATTTCTATGAAATGTAAATGATTAATCGATAATTTACCACATTCCAGCTTGATTTCAATATTGTACCTATCAGTTATATGTTTGTTTACTTCCTGTTTGAATGTATTCTTATTGCGAAATCATAAAGGGCCACCTCACTTTTTCTGTGTTCTTTAGAAAATGTTAAACTTGACCTTTGGTTCTTGAACGGGACCCAAAATGCTGAAAAAAAACCCACCAAAGATGCTGTTACAGGAAAACTTTTACAAACAAAATAAAAGTTCCTACATACTTAAAATATTTGAGAACAGTCTAACAATTGAATCATTTGAAAGAGTGAACAAGTTCAGATACAACAGACCTTGGAAAGACATTGAGAAGATGATATGATTTACATCCAAACGAAGCCTATGTTTGGTTAAAAAGTGAGCTGTAATTTTCAGATTGTTGAAAAGACGTTGAACATTCAGTTTTTACGTCTATTATCGGACTAAAATGGGACAAAATCTGATCAACCAAACAGCCCAGTTGTCAACAACAATTTCTGGACTAACTCAAGACTAATACCCCGTTTACACTACCCTTAAAAAACTGAGCCGAGACCGGTCCGAGCTCAGTAACTGAGATAACTTGTCGTGTGTGAACGGAAACAACCTGAACTGAACCGAGATAGACATAACCGGACCGCGCTAACTGCAGACCAGTTCCCGAGGTGGGTTCGGCTCGGTTTTTTCCTGGCTCGGTTCTCTGATAACAAGAGTGCATGAGCAGAACGCGTCATCGCCGACTGGCTGAACATGCCGATTCACACTCCATTCCAGAAAGTCGGCTTCCCAAAAGCCGACTTTCTCAAGTACATCCGCGCAAGGTTGCCGTCTTCGCCTGACCCACCGCAAACACCGAAGTACAGCAATAATAATCAAGCATAACTTTCTGAATGTGACGGGCGCCGCCATTTTGATTTGCTTGATTCGCTCCTCCTTCGTCTTCTTCTTCTTGGGTTTTACGGCGGTTGACAAACAGCGTTTGGTGCATTACCGCCACCAGCTGCTTGAGTCCCTCCTTCAATCCTAGCAGTAATACCGCACATCGTCACTAGGAGGCGAGGAGTCGAAATAACCGAGATAAGTGTGACGTGTGAACGGTCGTCAAAACTGAGCTTGGCCTGGTTACCGATCCAAGCTCGGACCGGTCTCGGCCTGGATCGGTTTTTCAAGGGTAGTGTAAATGGGGCTTATGATAAACCGACCAGCTTCAACCTAAAAACCAATGTCTAAATGACATGTAATGTTCCGGTATGTGGGAGGGGGGCACTCCAACTACACACTCCATAGTGTCGTTACACTGTTTGGGCGATCTAAAAACATACACAAAAAAAAATTTGGATAACAATAACTAACAACTAATTAGTGAAATCCAAAGTTAATTCATCACTTTTCCTTTATTTTACCAAAACCAAACTTTACTGCCATCTAGATCTCATTAGCAAGAGGGGCCTGGACAGAAAGTCCACATCATACATAAAAAGAGTCAGAGAAAATACAATCAAACACTCAAAGCAGTCATAAAATGTTGAAACTAAAAGATATTATAGTGATTTTAGAGCCCTGGCACGGATTTATAGATTCACATAGCTTATCATGTTTAAAATTTTAATCTATATGTTGATTATCAATGAAATCAATAAGCAATATGTTGTAAAATCTACAGAAAAACATTGAGCTGTGAAAAGTCTGAAATGTATAGAAGAAAAATTGCACAGACACTGAGTTTTAGCATCTTTGTACAACTATAACAGCTTGTAAGTCAGACACTGAAAGCTTTTTTGTTTATACCAATCATCATAAAACCACACCCTATACCAACCACAGTCTGAATGCATCTTTCGCAGAAGCACAAAGCGGTATTTCTGACATGTCAAGATGAATGGCTGATGCAGACAGAATGTATTGACACTAAGATTTCAGAAAGAGGTCTATGGAGATTCTCCTTGGCTGGAGACATTATTGACTGTGTTTAGCGCACTGAGTCGTTTCATCTGTCTCAGTCAGACAGAAGATTTGCACTAAAGCAGTGCCAACTGAGGCGTCTAACTTCATGCAGGTAGAGGATCAGTGCCATCCAAAGTTTTGCCCTGCAAGCTGGTAGAAGCGCTGGTTATGAGGCTTGTAGAAATCCCTCAGTTTCTGAATCACCTCTGGGTCTATGGAGACATGTGTCCTCCCTTTTGTCTTTCCCAGACAGTGGGGTTTACTGCTGCCCTCTGGTTTCTTTAAGCAAGGAAATCCTTTAGTTTTGTTGAAATAGAAGTGTTTGTCTGTGACTATCCTCTGAAGACCCAGAAAGTCCTGGACTTTCCCCAGTTCTCCAGCCGGGTCAGAGATGAGCCTCTCCCCGCTGACCAGATGGATCTGACTTCTGGGGAACCATGCCAGCCAACGCTCCATGTGCTGGGCATAGAGGCCGATCCACAACGGGCTCCACAGAGAGTCAATCTGACCTAAAGAGACATGTAGAAAGGAGGATGGTCATGACTTCTGCATAATTAGGACGGGGACACACTACCAGAAAGTGAATACAAATGTTCATGGCATGTTAAATATACATGATTCTTAACTATTTTCTATAGAAGCTATTTAAAGCCCCATAATATTCTTTTCACCTGGGTAAAAAGCAGTTTTGATTGCTCTAGCAAGCTTCAGAAAATGAATATAGATCTGTATGTTATTCATCCTAATGATGTGTGGTGAAATTGTGAAGATAACTGCACTACACCATGAGTCCAAACATTGAAGAAGAAAAGCACAAAGGGAAAAAAAAAATCTAGCTATTTTAAGAAACAAAACCTTTTCTGTTCAAGAGCCAGGATAAAGAAAATATTTTAAATCATATCTATATAAATCTGCATTTTTGCCCGAAAAGTTGCTTTTAAATCTGCTGGATTTATTTGTTTATTTACAGAAGCTAAAAACATATTATTCTCTAAATTATTCCGAATTTATTGATAGGATCAGATAAAAAAATATATATAATATAATATATACATTTCTAAAAAAAAAAGAAGAATATATTTTATATTTTGGTGAATGCAGTATATAAGTACAAACAGTAATTACTAACTCTTTCTTATAGTCCCTTTCACACTGAAACCCCACGTTTTTAAAAACCGTGTTGACCCGTTAAATATGGGCTTCTGGCTCTTTTCCCATTAGACCTAAAAGCTAAGTCTGACCCCCTGCTGAAAAGCTGCGTGGCCACTGTCCCTCACCACTGCATGTCCGACGGAAATCAGGGAGGTAAACAATGGAGAGCAACACGGATGGGAAATAGAGTGTAATCAATATTCCTTATTATTTCACTCATATCTGTCCAGATGCCTCTTAGCAGTGCTGCAGCGAGTTTATCGAATGTAAACAGAGTTGTTTCGGCTTCTTAGATCAGACGTGGCTGGCGTTGTGTGTTGATGTCCATATGTTTTGTTCAATGGTGTCATGTGAATTAGTGTGTCAACCCGGGTCTGATGTTCCCAATTCATCCGATCAGAGCCGAGGCGATTTTGATGCGGATCACATGCCGACGGGAAAGTCTTTTCAAAAGACCTGCTCCTAAACCAGGTTATTCTACCCAGCAATGGAAAAAATGTCTATAGGAGATTCTATTTGTTATTGTCTGTGAGTTTCATCCCTTGTCGGAAGTGACATGTTTTTAACACAATTTAGAGAACTCAGATAATTTCTGTCCACATTAGTTTGTGTCATTTGAAACTTATTGGCGTTTCAGAGGACCTCCAATAAACGCTCAAAGATCATATTCATTACAATGAAGGAATTTCCTCATCATCATATTGACTCAACAAAGCAATTGGTACATGCAAAGCTAGTAAGGTCTGCTTATGGCAATGGTGATAGAATCTTCAAACAAAGTTGAAAACAGGATTTAATTTATTGTCAAAGGTTGAATACTAGATTATTCTACATCAGATTCAGCTTCAAATATGGTGATATTATCATTCCATTTCCTATAGAGAACATAGCGAATGTTCAGCTGTTGGTCAAACGTCTTGGAACAAAAGTGCTCATATTTCCGCCTATATTTGGTCAAGTCTGAATAAAGCAAGATGAGAACAAGCTGTGAATATTTACTGTGGATGAAATGCAAATCAAATCAAAATGGCTGAAAGACATTTTTATGGGCAGCAAAGGCATTGCCATGTGAAATGAGGTACCTGTGGTGCGGTTCTTGAAGGCCAGACTCTCAAAGGGTGGGATGTCAGGCGTCTTGGAGATGATCTGCGTATAATCCGATATGGCTCGTGTCACAGGATCACGAACAACCACGATCAGCTTCACATCCTGAGACATGGCATGGACCCGTGCTGGTGTGTCCACTGTGACAAAATACCGCGGCGTCTTCTCAATCACTATTTGTCCGTCAAGGGCTTTGGGCATCATACTCCTAGAAGTATAGAATAAAAGAAGTTCTGGTATACAGTGGCTCTCAAGAGTCAAAACAATACTGCCTAAATAATAAAAAATGAACAGGGTTGTACATTTCAAAACTAATGCTTTACTACAGCATCTTTTAAAGTTTTTCTTAGCTAATGTCACATCTAAACATGACATAATTGTAAATCTACCTTAACTGATTTTCATGAGAGGATTTTCTTTGGACTCTATGATACTCAAAACATTAACTCAACCATTGCGACTTCCTCCACCTTTACAAAAACTCTCGCCTGAATAACAGTGACCCCACTGCATGATGCTTCCACACTAATGTTTCACTAGGAATCCATGTGATTATAGCTAAATATAAAACACCACAGCACTTTTAGGATATTCCTGTTCTTGAAACACCTTAAAAATTGTAGTCCTGTCTTTTCAGATAAAAATTCAAGAAAAATGTCCAGTTTTCATGATGTCGACCTCTATGTTCATCAATCATTAGTAACTAACTTAAGTTTCTCATATTGTATAAATACTTCTCTGTAAACCCTCTTTCTCCTGACTCATACCTTTGATCATCGTATGCCCTTGTTCCACTCAGTGGGGTGTGACCATTTTTACCACAAGGTTAATTTCACATTTATCCTTGCAATTTTTAAATAAAGCATACTACAACTCCTTAATTATTCACCTCATTTTGTGAAACTATTTTTACCATCCTACAGAACAGGGGTATGGATAAAGATCAGATAGTAGTGGTAAATGTGTTCAGTATAGGATGATATCATTCGCAAATAGTGGGAATACACCCACCCACAGCCTCAGGCTGCCTCATACAACCCATTACTCACTCTGACATTCATCATATAACAGGCATGGTAGCATGAGCGGTGACGAAGCATCGGCACAGTAACCTCCCAAAGATGCAGACCAGCCATTGAGGTGCAGCTCAAGACAAACACAAGAGTCACTCTCTGAATGTGTATCAGCGCTATGCTCCTCAGACTCCAAGACAAATCCCAGCAGATGGGATTCATTTAGAGATAAATGACTCCAGAGGCCCCCCAGGACCAGCTGGAGGCTCAGAGACATCTGCTAACACACCTGCCACACACCTAACCGACTGATGGAAGAAACACGGCTCTGATTCAGCATCTTAGCTCGTATTAAATGCCTCAATTCAAACAAATGCTCAGTTTAAACATAGGATAGATGTTCTGAATGCAAGGTTCTAACTTTAGCAGAAATTGCTTAAAGATAAAAAATGGGAATACAATTACTTAGGGGTTGGGGAAAAAAATGTAATCTTCTACAGATAGTCAAGAAAAAAAATAGCGATGAACAAAAACAGCAAAAAGGCAAAGAGAATTGCGATTATTGAAAAGTATCCATTCAGCTACATCTGCAGTAAAACTGACTCAGCATTGTGCTGTCATCATGCTGACAGTCAAACAGGGTGGTGGTCATGTCATGGTCTGATGCTGGTTTGCCTCCTTAGGAACTGCGTCTATTATCATAAATGATGAAAACAAGAAGTCTCTATCGGTTTCGCTAGGGGAGCACCGATTGCAGCTTTATGACCGATCACAGTTTTAAAAAGCCTTATTTTTATAACTAACACTGTCACTTAGACTTTGACAACTTTAATTGTCATTATGTATACTAAGAGTGTATACAGAATGAAATTTGGTTTTGTACAACTCTCATGACATTTCCATTTCTTAAAGTGTGATTTTTATAAGATCACAAGACATTTAAATCTATCTTAATGAAAAAATAAGAAATCTGAACTACTCTCATACATAGATTAAAGTTTAAGGCATTGGCAGTAGGTGGTTTTCGGACCTTTACAGAGGTAGATCAGATTGGTGGAAAAGATCAGTTTCACATCCATGTATTGTCCGATTACTGATCTCCCAAATTTAACTAAATTGAGGCTGATCAATCAGCCGTAAGATAAATCAGTGCAACCCTAGTTACTGCCGGGCCATGACTAAAAGGATCTAAACCTCAACCTCCCTTGGTTTATGGTTTATAAGGTTATGTGAGTTGCAGAGTCAAAGTCTGGATATAACCCTGAAGTAATGCGGTGGTATTACTTCATGTTTGAAAACTCTCCAATAAGCTGAATTAATTCATTTAAAACGGTCAGTGGTAACAGAACCAGATTTAGGTTTACGGGGCAATTTGATTTTCCACATAGTTATACAGATTATCTTTGTCTGATATGAAAACTTGTATGATGATATAAAACATCTATGTGTGGCAGAAGATAAAGCAAAACAAAAAATCTATAAGGAGAAAGTTAATTTTCACAGCACTTAATATGATATAGTAGATTAGTTTTTACAGCATTACTGACAGATTTGCTCTGACAATTACACAAATAAGACCAGGATACACTTCATGGCAGATGTGCAAACCCTTAAGTCCATCAATTTTAAATTGCGCTTTTACAAAAAGTTTTAAAAAAATTATTAAACCAACACACATTTACTTTTTTTGCTGTTACATTTATAGAGATGAGTCTTTAATTTTCCTTAAATGAGTTTCCCCGGTTTCTTATTTCGTACAGTTAGAAGAGAAAAAGTTTCCAATGAGCTTTGAACGAGGCATTAATAACAGAAGGACGTGCAGAGAGAAATTACACACATGCAGCACACAGCTGATAAGAGTGAGGGCAGGATGCTCCAGCTGTATTCTTGCATAGGCTCAGGTTTCAGGTGCTCCTGAAACCCAAACCTCCTATCAATACGACCTCTCCCTTCAGTCTGACAAACTCACATACACACCTACAGTCACACGCGTGGCGATTTCATTTGATCGGATGAGTGTGAGGCAGTTTTCACCGCCGCTTAGCCTGAAGACTTCCCTTTTAACTCTAATAACCCTGAGCAGCAGGAGCCGTGCAGTCTGTTACACACAGAGACACAAAGACTCGTGAAGGCATGTGCACAACACACACACAAAAACACTGCAAAACACAAACATACACTCATTATTCACTCATTAGTCAATTGCTCACTATCATGCCTCTGCTGTCCCCGTGGACCCAATTCTGAAAACCAAAAACACACACACCCACAGAGGAACAGACACATTTTATAAAATCACAGAGATTCTGCACACTTAACGGGTGGGTGTGGTGGATTTAAATGCAGTGTGTGTGTGTGTTTCTTTTAAATGAAAGGGGTGGATGACTGATGAAGGAATGATGGCGGTGGACGCAAACGCGCCTCCATTAGCAATCTGTCGGTGAATAGCCTCAGAGCCAAGAGCCCCATACCATTACCTAAGCACAAAGAGCTAATTACTGCCCCTAAGAGCGCCATCAAAAGAAAAGATCTCTTATAAACATGTTTCTGCTGCAAGCTTAGCGAAGACCCACTAATTGACAGACAAAATAGCCGTTAGCTTCTCTGATAATAAAACCTCTCCCTTGTGCTACTTCTGGCATACAATTCCAGCGACCTTGAGGATAGCTCTATAACTTCAATTTCACTGAAAGAGAAACATTGCGTAATATGTTTTCATTAACACAGTGTTTGTTTGCTATCATTCTTTTTTTCTGCCTTGCAACATTTATAACCCATTAGTTCACACATTGTTCCCTTACAACGTTAAAATTTGTTTTCTATCATGATCTGATATGAAATACCAAACTAAAGTAATGGCTTAAAAGATAATTATAATTGATTCTCATAATATCACACACTAATACCAGAATTTACTGTAGTATTTCTCTTTCTATTAATAAGCAATATCCCCTCATGTGTTTCATTAAATCTCAGCATATAAATGCAGCTGTTCTGTGAAGGCCTGAGAGGTTTATTAGAGAACATTAAGGGACATAAACGGGTCACAAAATGATTTTTTAAGAACTTAAACCAGGGTTAAGTTGTAAAAAAAAGATCCCAAGCTTTAAATATATCAGCTTTCTAAAATCTGGAAATTCAATTTATTTCAATTTAATTGAAGATAACTTTATTAATCCCAAAGGGAAATAACATGTTGCTGTATCTTACTATAGTGAGCTGTTTAAATGTAAATAGCTGCAGTTGATCCCAATGGAAAAGCATTAGAATCATTTGCAGTGAATTCAGTGAATATCATTTTTCCCCATGAGGCCTATGGGTTTGTAACCAAATCTTTAGTGACCTTCTTGCAATGTTTTTTTTTTTCTGCAATAGCGTATTTTGTTGCCATTACTCCAGAAAGACAAAATTTGTGAAGAAAATAAGTAGTATTCACCTGACTGTTTTAGTGTAATAATCTACCATTCTGGACTTTTTAGTTCTGTGTAAGTTTTCATTTTTGGTTCTTAGTTATGCTTTATTTTTATGTTAGTCTGAATTATGAAGATTTATATCACTTTTGATTTCTTAGTTTTACTCTTCCTTGTAATCTATTTTCTGCATTTTTGCTATTTTATAATCCTTGGTCTGGTTTTAGTTAGTTAGTTCAAATTTTGGTTATTCCACATTTTGTAGGCATTTCCTATTGCCTTATTTAATTATTTTCTAGTTAAACCCTGTTTTCCCTGGTTACTCTTTGTTAACCTTAAGTGCTCCGTTCCCTTCCCCTTAGCTCCTTTCTAGCTTCTTCTGTCCACATCTGCTCCCAATTAACAGATTACCACCAACCCTGACATTAAGATGCTTCAAATTATTGCTCCAAATAAAAACTATCAAAGTTTTTGCTTCCAACTCATCAAAATGCATCCCATCAAATTAATTTTCCATGATTTTTTCCAAAGCTTAGCATGAAGTCGGATGTTGTCGTTTTGCAACATTAGCCTTTTTTTTCCATGTAACAAAAATGTGAAATTTAGGCAAACTTCGAAAAGTTAAAAAAAGAAATCCGAATTTGTTGTGTTTGCATCTTTAATTAAGTAAATTAACTAAGCACTGCAAAGCGTAAAGTCAAACATCGTCGATATTAAGTCTTTGCAGATGGCCATAGTAAACAGGAAATAGAGGCTGCATTCCAGCTCTGTCTGGTTCTGCAAAA